CAGGAATGGCTCCTTCTTACAGAAGACAAAGGGTAAGTAAGTACTGCAGTAGAAAGTGGAAATCTGAAACATTTCCTACTTAGTCTATTTATTTTGAAAAACTATGCAATTAAGGATATTATAGGAATGTATCCTATTTTGTTAAATATTTTAATTTATATTTTTTATATCTAGTGGATAAAAGCAACTATAGCTTGAAACCTAACCATGTATATTTTGATCAAGAGGTACACCTTTGTTCTACTTGTCTGTTCATGTATTTCAGTGTTTTTATTTTCTTACCTTAAATATTTCAGTGAAAACTTAATGTTTTTCTAATATCATCATTTCCTAGCTGATTAGTCTGAAGTACAGGCAAATTTTCTGCATTCCTTTTGTCTGTATGAAACAGGTAATCTACTTTATCTGCATTGTTCATTACCTGATATACTGTATTCTGTGAAGGTATGGGAAATTATGACTAAGGCATAAATCCTTTTTTAGATCCTGCTAATAATTGTTTTTGTATTTCTAGCAATTCAGTTTGTTCTCAGTGATGAGTTTAGCCATCTTCGTCCGGAACAGAGATTGGCTTTGTTACATGTGAGTGAGACTGCTTTATGGATGTTAAATACTTCTAAAAATACATTGTCAATTCTGGTAAACACAATTATTTTTTCAAGTTTCAGATCCTTTGTGAACATGGCACAGTGTGTCTCTTACGTATGTTGTTCTGCTATGAAATTCAGCTTACTATATTAATGCAGGATAAAGGCTTAAATTTTATATAATGGTAAGAAAATTGTGCGAGTTCCCTATGGATGGATATGCCTTCCATATAAATATAAATTCTTTATTAGGAGTATGGCCTGGTAGCGGTCTGGAAGCAGGTTTGCTGAGAAAGAAGAAAGTTAGGTTGGGGATTAGAAACTTTGAGACTCAGAATCAGAAGTTAATTGTGGGGACTTCCCTGGTGGTCCAGTGGTTAAGACTCCATACTCCCAATGAAGGGGGCCCAGGTTTGATCCCTGGTCAGGGAACTAAGATCCCACATACTGCAGCTAAGCCTGCGTACTGCAGCAACTGAGCCCGCGCACTCTAGAGCCCATGCTCCACAACCAAGACCCAGTGCAGCCTACATAAATAGTAAATAAATAAATAAGTTAATTGGGAGCATAGAAAAGCAACCATTACAAACTAAACAACATAAAGTTACTTTTAGCCATATTTATACTTAAATGGTAACATCATTTGGTAACAATGGTAACATCCAATATGAAAGACAGTATATAGTAATGAAAATTGTTAGAATTTTTCTTTAGATAATTATGAATGATAAACTAATTTTAGGATAAGAAAGTATAAAAGGCTATGATAAAATGGTGTAACTTTATTTACTTACGTACTTATGTACTTACTTACACTGGGTCTTTGTTGCGGCATGCAGGATCTTCATTGCAGCACGCGGGATCTAGTTCCCTGACCATGTATTGAACCTGGGCCCCCTGCACTGGGAGCGCAGAGCCTTAGCTACTGGACCACCAGGGAAGTCCCTGTCTTGTTTAAATATGGCTTATAATTAATTTTAAGACCAGAAAGCGAGATTCTTCAATATATCTCCACAGTATCTCTCAGACTTAAAGTTCTTTTTCTAACCATTATATTTTTCTCCCCCTCACTCTTTTTTTTTTTTTTTGGCTGCGCCGTGTGGCTTGCAGGATCTTAGTTCCCCAACCAAGGATTGAACCAGGGCCATGTAGTGAAAGCACCAAGTGCTAACCACTGGACTGCCAGGAAATTCCCTCCCCCACCTCTTACATTTGAAGTTTTAGTCCAGTAATCAGGATTGATTCCCTATAGAAAAATCTCTCTTTAGGTTTCTCAGATTAGCATTAAAAGAATAATTTCTTTAGGTATCATTCTTCATTGTATTGAACTACTACATAATAGCAGTTTTCACAATCTAGAAATTATCTGGGCTTGGTATGTAAGTAGTTGGGTCACAAATCGGTCCGAATGTGACCCATATGTTAAATGTATATGTTTTCATAGCAGATTTAAAACTATATAGAATATCTCAAATGTTTAAAAAGACAGTTTTTATCATGTGACTTGTTAGGGCTCCTTTCTAGCGTTAAGGTGAATCTATAAGACAGAAGACTCAAAGTGTTTTATATTTTAGCAAATAGGTAAAATTGGGTGGCTATGGGGTTTTATGCTCTAATGAGGTGATATGCAGAACAAGACCTATGTAAATCTAACTTTGACATCTCTTGCATAGTTCTCATTTTTAAAATTCAGAATCAAAAGCTGTTTGGTTGAGTTTTATTATCCTAATCCAGTGTTTGCTGCTTTGGTAAGAGGGGTGTATATTAGTCTGATAGAAATTTTTCTCCATTGAATCAGGCTTGTTACCATGCACTAAACTTTAAATGTATTTAAAGAATATGAAAATCCCACTTATGCAACACATTAATTTTTCTCATGTTTTAGGAGGGTACAGGACCTCGTGTTATTTCTGCTTTTGTGGAGATTATTTTTGACAATTCAGACAACCGGTTGCCAGTGAGTAACTGCTTTTTCTTTTCAGTAGTAACATTGAGAATTTTATTGATGCAACTGACTTTTTTCATGCTTTGAAACACTTATTTATAGTTGTACTTAGGCTTTTATAATTTAGTTCATACTAAGATAACTACAGCTTACATACTAATTTTGTCTTAAAGTTGTAATGAATATTCTGGTAAACAAATGGGAATGTGCAAGCCATTGTGAAAAAATGTCTTTGTCATAGTATTGAGTATTCGTGGCATATCTTTAGTGGGATGATTGAAGTTTCAAAATAATTGCTATGGTGAGGGACTCTGAAATGACCTTATTAACTATAAAGTTTCCACTTTTACTATTAGATTTAACTTTAGGCTTTTCCTTTTTTTTCTTAGATCGACAAAGAGGAAGTTTCACTTCGAAGAGTTATTGGTGCCAAAAAGGATCAGTATTTCTTAGACAAGAAAATGGTCACGTAAGCATTTTTCTTTACGTTTGTAATTTCTATACAAAAGACTAAAAGTATTCTTTTACTTGCCTCATATATGGTACTTTTGCCTCATGTTCAACAAGTCACAATTTAGAGCATAAACATAAGAATCAGAAGATTCTCTGAGGCTGATAGAACAGAAGGGTTAAATGACTGTTCTGTACTCCTTCATGCACCTTAACTCAGGAGTTAGTGTACTCTTTTTGCTTATAGTTGGATTGTTATGTATTTGAAAATTTTTTTTAATTGTTTATCAACAGGAAAAATGATGTGATGAATCTCCTTGAAAGTGCTGGTTTTTCTCGAAGCAATCCTTATTATATTGTTAAACAAGGAAAGGTAAGAAATAGTATCTTTTTAAGTGGAATTTGTTTTCTGAGTATATTCATTGAATGATTTTGATTTCATTCTAGTGGTTAAGTTGGAGTGAAAATAGACCTTATTGTCTTCTGTTTTCACTGATTTATTTTGCACTGAAGTTTGTATTACCTTTTCTGTGGCCATAAATTTATGTACAAGATAGATCCATTGCATAGTGGGATAAAATTATTTCAGTAGAATTATTTAAGTGGATCTTATTTTCTTCGTGATCTGTATCATTTACCAAGGTGCACTGTACTGGAAGACATTTTTGGTTTGTAGAAGTTACAATCATATTTAAGAATGTTGTAGAAACTTTATAAAAATCACACTTGAAAATAGTTACTCTCTGAAATTAATACTCTCTCTGTTAGTATATCACAGAGTTAAAATGCTAGAATGCTTACATTACCAGAAATCTACCATAATGCTACATATTATTTTCCCTTAGTACAATTTATATTCTTTATAGTTTTTAGGAGTTATATACTTTATCTGATCTACTGTTTTCTCGTATGTTTTAACTATATATATCTAAAATAATTTCTTTTTCTTAGAACATACCTGCAGTGTCCTAATAGCTTTCTGTTGTGCTATATTGAACTAGGGGAAAATCCTTTTAAAATGTCCACTTCTTATTTCATGTTGGAGGCTTTTTTAGGTATGTGTTGGAAAGTTAGCATTCAGAAGTGATTAGAAAGAATATGGAGTTTCACTTTAAGAGCAAGAGTTTGAAAAGACTGTCTTTATAAGAGAAATTTCTTTAAAAGGAGGCTGGGGACTTCCCTGGTGGTCCAATGGTTAAGACTTTGCCTTCCCACTCAGGAGGTGCAGGTTCAATCCCTGGTTGGGGAGCTAAGATCCCACATGCCTTGGGGCCAAAAAGCAAAACAGAAAACAGAAGCAATATTGTAACAAATTCAATAAAGACTTTAAAAATGGTCCACATCAAAAAAAAAAAAACTTTAAAAAATAAAATAAAAGGAGGCTGATTTGAAAGCCGTTATCTGAGTCTTCCCTGCACACATGCAACATAGTAGGTCCCTTTACATCATTTCAATTTTTGCTCATATGTCATTTCATATAAGCCATCTATGTCTGCCTCTTTTACAAGAGCATTACTGTCACTTCAACTCTTTATACTATATTTTCTTATTTTGTTTTGTTTTTCCGCATAGCAATTATAATATAATGGTATGCATACTTCCTGTTTTTTTTCCACTAGAAAGTAGGTTCCTCGAGGGCAAGACCTTTTCTGTTCATTGTTATTTTCCCAGTGCGAACTCATACTTAAAGCTTAGCATGTGAATAACTTTCAAGGTAGAGCTCTTAAAGAGCATTCTGTAGCTTTGTAAATAATTATTTTTCTAAAACTTTTAGATCAACCAGATGGCAACAGCACCAGATTCTCAGAGACTAAAACTATTAAGAGAAGTAGCTGGTACTAGAGTGTATGATGAACGAAAAGAAGAAAGCATCTCTTTAATGAAGGAAACAGGTAAAATAAATGTGATTCTACATTATTCTTTTTGTTGTGAATTACTTTTTCATTGTGTTATGATACTTGAGAGAAGTTATCTATTCTCAGAAGTGTATTGTATGATAATTTGCCTATATACTGAATGGAGAAAAAATTAGTTTCAGGAAGTTTAAGGTTTGAGGGTTCCAACAATTTGTCTCTTTGAATAAACAGTTGTTACTGTGAGATAATAGTGCTTTTCTAGGTCACCTACTTTGTGCCTCTAATGTCCTTTTTATTATTAGTGAGGATAATAATGTATGTATTCCTCACAAAAAAAAATTTCTGGAATATCAGTTGGCATTAGGCTTTAAGTTGTTCAGGAGCAAGTAAATATGAAATTTTGAACTTCCAGTCTTCCTTAGTACATTTATTATGGAAACCCTACTTTGCTTTTCAAGTGCTGTGCCCTCTCATGGCTTAGAGTCAGACAGTTTTGGGTTCAAAGTCTTACTAATAATTACCTGATATTGTGACTTTAGACTTGACCTCCCTGGTCCATAACTTTCCCATCTTGTGAAATCCTTTTTTATAGTTTGTAGTGGTGAGTAGAGGAGCAAAGTATCACCATGATTGGAATATAGTTGGTATTCAATATATGGTAGCTATAGATAATGCTGTTGTAAGAACTGAGAATCAGTGACACCAGTAATGTTAAGTACTTTTTTTTTTTAATGTCATGGGAAGGCACACTGGCTTTTAAAGGAAGTTTAAACAGAGGCCTTTACCACATGTAATATAAGAATCAGTGTCACCATGTGTTTATTCCCTGATGCTTTTCATAATAAAGCATTTTAATGGAAGTTTTAGCATCTTGGATTTGGTTACCACATAATATCAAAGAAGTAATGCTAATGTTCTTAAGATTAAGTTTAACTCATGGTATATTTGAGAATTGATGTTACATAAAAATTTTATTGAACTCCTTCACCCCTCTCCCATTTATTTTTAAGAGGGCAAACGGGAAAAAATCAATGAGTTGTTAAAATACATTGAAGAGAGGTTACATACCTTAGAGGAAGAAAAGGAAGAGCTAGCTCAGTATCAGAAGTGGGATAAGATGAGACGAGCCCTGGAATACACCATTTACAATCAGGAACTTAACGAGACTCGTGCTAAACTTGATGAGGTAAAATACTTTGCCACTTCAGTTTAATTTTATTTTTACGAATATATTAAACTCATTCTATATTTATACTTTTCAATGATTTTTAAACACAGACTTCAAAATTTTAAAACCTCTTAGTGACTTCATTACTCAGCAAATTTACACTATCAGTTTACTCCAAGGAAAATGCCTAGACCCACATAGTCCTTGCTGTAGTTGTATCTGAAATATAATTAAGTGGTGGTGTCAGGTAGACCAGGATGAGAGGAAGCCACCTTTAAAGTTTCATGAATTTTTTTCCTGGCTTTTTAAGGTGTAATTTGTAATTAGTATTGCTGACATTTTGTACCAAAATTTGTTTTAGGTAATGCTGAACACTACAGGCATTTTCTATTTAAAACCACTACAATTATTTTTGGAAAAAAATTTTTAGGTGAATGTTTATTTTAACAGATATTTTAAAATTTTGCTAAAAATACTTAGCAGATATTTAAAAATTCAGATATTTTAAAATTTAGCAGATATTTTAAATTTTTAAATACTGAACAAATTCGAAATGAGTTAGAAATCATAGCTTGGTTTTTTTTCCAGCTTTCTGCTAAGCGAGAGACTAGTGGAGAAAAATCCAGACAATTAAGAGACGCCCAGCAGGATGCAAGAGATAAAATGGAGGTAAGGTTATAAACCAGGTTTAGTCATATTTTTGACCACAGTAAACTTTTTGTACCAGAATTATAGAATGGTAACTTCAAGTGGGGTGTCACTGAGATTGAGTATTGGAAAGACAGTAGTACTGAAAGTTTAAATGAAAGAAAAAGGAGACAAATCAGTGGTGTCCTGATTTTGCTGTTGTATTTCTAGTTGTCTAACTTGTTTCTATTTGATACTTTTTGAGTAGGATATTGAGCGCCAAGTTAGAGAACTGAAAACAAAAATTTCAGCTATGAAAGAAGAAAAGGAGCAGCTCAGTGCTGAAAGACAAGAACAAATTAAGCAGAGGACTAAGTTGGAGCTTAAAGCCAAGGATTTACAAGATGAATTGGCAGGCAATAGTGAACAGAGGGTGAGTTAAAGTGCTAAAAGCGAAAGATATAAATGTTCAGGTGAGTGGGAACTGCAGAGGACAGTCGTTTCTGTGGCACGGATGCTTGAATTTTTGTAAAAGATTTGGCACATTAAAATAATTTGCATTCAAGTTGCAACTGAGTACTATCTTTGTTACTTACATTTAAAAGTTAGTTTTGTGTTGCAGGATCAGTTTAAAAATTAGTTTTGTGTTGCGTGATCAGTCTCATGCATTTTTTTCATGAGAAAATATTTTATGCTAGACTTATAAATTAAAAGTTTTTAAACAGATTGCATTTTTACTTATCTTCATTTACAGAAACGCTTATTAAAAGAAAGGCAGAAGCTGCTTGAAAAAATAGAAGAAAAGCAGAAAGAACTGGCAGAAACAGAACCTAAATTCAACAGTGTAAAAGAAAAAGAAGAACGAGGAATTGCTAGGTCTGGGATTTTTTTCACCAACAATTCTAATTTTCTACATTGTTCCTCTATAGAACCTTATTAAATAGTTATGGGTTAAGAAGGTACAGTAAATAAGGACAAAAGTTAAATGTCCATTTCAAAGTAATAGGCAATGTCGGCTGAGCATTATTGTATGCTTATTGCCTATTCAAAAGCCCTAGGAGATCCACAGTATCACCACTGTACATTTGACAAACTTGAGGCTCTGGGGGTGTTCAATAACTTGCTCAAGATAACATAGCTAAATGTTGGGCATTTAAAAACATGCATGATGATTGTTCTTTTTATTGTATCCTGCTGTGTGTTCATTCTCCCACTTTATGTCGTTTTAACATCTAGACATTTTAATATCTATCCGTAGATTGGACTTGCCAACGTTTGCTGATTTCACAATTTAGTACATTATCATGTTTTTATGCCACTTATGTTCATCTTAATGAATTGCCTGTTGATATCTTGTGTCCATTTTTTTCTGATTTTTTTTGTCGGCTTTTTAAAATAATTTATTTATTTTATCCTACTTATTTTTGGCTGTGTTGCATCTTTGTTGCTCTGCGCGGGCTTTCTCTAGTTGTGGCGAGCAGGGGCTGCTCTTCGTTGCAGTGCGCAGGCTTCTCATTGCGGTGGTTTCTCTTGTTGTGGAGCACGGGCTCTAGGCGCGCGGCCTCAGTAGTTGTGGCTCATGGGCTCTAGAGCACAGGCTCACTAGTTCTGGTGCGTGGGCTTAGTTGCTCTGTGGCATGTGGGATCTTCCCAGACCAGAGCTCGAACCCGTGTCCCCTGCATTGGCAGGCGGATTCTTAACCACTGCGCCACCAGGGAAGCCCCTTTTTTCTGATTTTTTTTCTTACGTTTTATAGTGTTGTTTTATGTTATCTGGGCATTAATATTTGTTCTGTATGTTGTAAGTGTTTTCTCTTGCCTTTTAACCTTTATAGTGTCTTTTATTGTAAGGAGTTGAAAATGTTCAAATAGTTAAATATAGTTGGAGCATTTTTGAAAATTCCTGAGATATGGGGTACTAGATTTGTGTAGGTTTACTGATTAACCCAGACCTGGAATGGCCTTAAATCCTTAGGGGATGGGCTGTTTTACCTGACTGTAACTGTGATTTTGCAGTTAATCTTATATAGAACTAGTCCCAGGAGCTCCATTAGATAACAGTTGCTTTTTATACTTAATTCCTTCTTCTTTTTTTTTTTTCTTTTCTTTTTTACCACACCATGCGGCTTGTGGGATCTTAATTCCCAGACCAGGTATCAAACCCAGGCCCTCAGCAGTGAGAGAGCAAAGTCCTAACCATTGGACTGCCAGGGAATTCCCTTTAATTCCTTCTTTTATGGAATTATAGAAATGGTTATTGTCTCTGTGTACTCTTGAGGTATCTATTGCAATTAAACTTGGTTATTTCCTGTTGTCCTTTTCAAACCATTCTCTTCTATCTTGTGTAGATTGGCCCAGGCTACGCAGGAAAGAACGGATCTTTATGCAAAGCAGGGTCGAGGAAGCCAGTTTACATCAAAAGAAGAAAGGGATAAGTGGATTAAAAAGGAACTCAAGTCTTTAGATCAGGCTATTAATGACAAGAAAAGACAGATTGCTGCTATACATAAGGATTTGGAGGACACTGAGGCAAATAAAGAGAAAAATCTGGAGCAGTATAATGTAAGAACTTTCATAGCTGCTTTGTGAAATCTTTCAGAAGAGTGTGAACATGTGCAGTTTCATCTGTTTCTTTAAGTTTTATTTGTAAATGGTTTATCTTAAAATATACAAGACTAGATGCTTAATTAGGCGAGACCAGCACAATTTAATGTGATACATATGGTAGTTCTCTTTTTCGAAGAAGAGTTCATACATGTCGGTGAGTGTCCGTATAGATTGAATATACTTTAAAATATATTTTTATGACTTGGTAATGTGTACCTGAGCTCTACCCTTAACTAAAACATGACTTTATAGTAACTTAAAATTTTTCCATTTTTATATTCTAATGTAATTTTCTGTCAATGTAATAACTTACTGCAGAATGTGTATATATTTTGTTAAAGCATTGGTGATTTTATAACATTTTCTAAATGAATTAAACATTTACTATGCATGTTTAGTTATTAGCATTTTCTTAAAAAGTGAAGTAGAAGATAAAATCATTACTTTCAGAGCAAGAAAGATCTTACATTATTTAAAATTAGAAAGGGAGAAAAATTCTTTAAGTGATATGTGTGGATATATATAGATGATTGGAAGTGATGAGAAGGGAGTGTGTAGGACAGGTGTAGGGTGAGGAGAATATATATATACATGCCCAGAAGGAACCTTCTTACCCCATGAGATCTGTACCAGTTGGTATGGTTGGTTTATCAAAAAAAGCCACTAAAAGCATAAAATCTTAAATGTGTATACTTATGTATATTTTATGTATAATACTTATATGTATTTTTTACACATAAATATACATACTTATAGGTATTTAATTTTAAATACATAAATATATGCTTATGTACCAATCTTTATTTTTTAGACTTTTTTTTTAAGAGTAGCTTTGGGTTCACAGCAAAATTGAGAGGAAGGTATAGAGAGTTCTCATATGTCCCCTGCCCCCACACATGTATAGCCTCCTTATCAACCTCCTCCAGCAGAGTGTGTACCAGTCTTTTGATGTAGAGCCCAAAGTATTTCTTATGAATATGAGTAGTGATTGGAGTTCCTAGGGGACTTTCATGTTATGAACCACACATGTAAATACAGTTCTCCTTGAAGTTGGATGAGAACAGAATTCGGGTTTCAATATAAGATCATATATCGCATTTAGTTGTCATGTTTCTGTTATCTCCTTTAATCTGGATCAGTTCCTCAAGTCTTTTTGACTTTGCGACTAGACATTTTGAATTACTGATACAAAGTGCACAGTATCTATTAACTTATGTATTATATATTAAATAATTATTTTCCCTAGTCTTTTAGAGTTGATTTTCCCATTTAATCCAATTTTTAGTGACTCACCTTTGAGTTTGTCCAAAACTAAATCAATTTTTTTAAAGAAACAACTCTTCCTTGTACTCATCAGTTTATCTAATATTTAATGTAGTCAGTTACCCCAAAACAAAAAACATAGTAGGAAGCAAACAGAACTGACTCTGTAACCATAAACAACTCAACTGGTAGGAAAAGTGACCAGGAGTAATAGACAGCCTACTGGCCTTGAGAGTCCAGCGTACTTTGGGCTTTGTTCAGGATATTTTACGGAGGGAATGGAAAACAGGTTGATTGAGGTAGTCAGTTATTTGGGAATTTGTTAGTATAGTTTCAGCTGCGATAGCTATAGTCCTGTCTTGAAATAAAGAAAAGGCATTTTGTCTTGAGTTCATGGAAATATCGACCTCAACAGATGCCCTTTTGAAAAAGTTTAGTGATAAACCAAGATTTTCCAGTGAGAGGTATTATTCATTCTTTCTCAAGCTTGAAGTTATTTTTCAGTATTTCAGTCACACTTAAGTGTATCAAAATGACCACTTGTGAGGGTGAACTCTGTGCTTTATAATGGGTAGAGATGATTTTACAGTGCTAATTAATTGTACAAAACAGCCTTTTTGCTTCTTAGTCTGTTCCTACATCTCTTATGTTCTAGTGTATGTGTTTAGAGGGGGAAGTATGAAAAGTATGCACTGCAGTGTTTTGAGAATTTATTAATGTATTTTTTCTTCTAAAATTCTAGGGTGTGTATTATAGAAGTAGTAAGGACATTAATGAACAAATTAATTGTTTTGATATATGTATATGCCTGTTAAACCATCACCACAATTAATATAACAAGCCTGTTCATCACCCCAAAATGTTTCCCATACCCCTTGGTAATTCCTCCCTCCCTCCTTTCCTGTCCTCCTCCATCCCCTGGTAACAACTGATCTGCTTTCTGTCACTATGAATTAGTTTGTATGGAACTGGATTTTAAATTCGAATTATTTTTATTTGCATAGAAACTGGATCAGGATCTTAATGAAGTCAAAGCTCGAGTTGAAGAACTGGACAGAAAATACTATGAAGTAAAAAATAAGAAAGATGAATTACAAAGTGAAAGAAAGTTAGTATAGCCTAAAATATGTCTTAATATTTTTGAGTAATATAATTACTGGCTGTTAAACAGTCTTTAAGTTATAAATTAACTATTGAAGTTTAATTTCAGTTTTTATTCAAAATTGTATACTATTAGAGTATTAATATTTTTAGAATTAAAGACAGTCTAATTTTTATTGATTAGTTACTTGTGGAGAGAGGAGAATGCAGAACAGCAAGCACTTGCTGCTAAAAGAGAAGATCTTGAAAAGAAACAGCAACTTCTTAGAGCTGCAACAGGAAAGGTGGGCAGGTTCTTTCATTACCTCAGTTTGCATTGCCAGTTATTATTGCACAAGAATTTATTAGCTTTCAAGAGTAGAGTGCAAATTACTTGTCTTATAAATACGAAAGAATGGGTATCATTTAAGCACCCATGCTATTAAAGGTAGCACTTTTGATTTTTAGATAGCGAGTCCATTTTTAATGTTGATGTCATAGAACGGAATCCATGATATAAAGTATTGCACGTAGTTGGCATATTTCAAGGGAGTGACCTGTTTTTGGAGAGAGTGTTTAATCTCTGGTATATTTTTTTTTATTTTTTAAAATTTTTATTGGAGTATAGTTGATTTACAATGTTGTGTTAGTTTCAGGTGTACAGCACAGTGAGTCAGTTACATATATACATATATCCAGTCTTTTTTTAGATTCTTTTCACATATATGCGATTGTAGAGTATTGAGTAGAGTTCCCTGTGCTATACAGTATGTCCTTACTAGTTACCTATTTTATATATAATAGTGTGTATATGTCAATCCCATTCTCCCAGTTTGGTATATTTTTTAATGTTTAGAGTAATGGGTTCATTTCTTACCAGCAGGAGTGCCATTGGCACTATTTTAATATTTTTCACTTCTAAACAGGCCATTTTAAATGGAATAGATAGTATAAACAAAGTGCTAGACCACTTTCGTCGAAAGGGAATAAACCAGCATGTTCAAAATGGCTATCATGGTATCGTGATGAATAACTTTGAATGTGAGCCTGCTTTCTACACATGCGTGGAAGTCACTGCTGGAAATAGGTGAGATGTTTTTGCTTGATATTTTGAGTTTTTAAAGGAAAGAGGGAATAAGAGTAACCTAAGAAACAACTTTTTGTAGTTTTAATACAATATGTCTCCCATTATCGTCCTGTATCCTCAGTTACTTAATTTTCTAATTAAAGATGTAGATGCTAAGTGTTTGTTCCTGAAGCTAGAAATTTCCCTTTTTTGTACTTCCTCTCTCTCCGTTGAAATTTTCTAAGTAGCCCTCCCCATACAAATTGGATTGCATAGAAAAAAAGTGAATTGTTTGCTTAAATGTTTATAGCACTTCAGATGTATCTGTTCTCTTTACATGTAGGTTGTTTTATCACATTGTTGATTCAGATGAAGTCAGCACGAAGATTTTGATGGAGTTTAATAAAATGAACCTACCTGGAGAGGTTACTTTTCTGCCTCTTAACAAATTAGATGTAAGGGATACTGCCTATCCTGAAACCAACGTGAGTTGATGTGTGTTAAGGTCTATCTTTCTTTCAATACGTTTTGTCTTGTGTTTAGCGCATCCTAGTGCACAGGCACTGTACATTGGGATTCACGTGGTCTGTGAGATAAACATTCCTGTCTTACTGAAGAGCATAGTGCTGGATGAGGAAAGGAAGGGAGACAGAGGTCACAGCCAAGACATAAAACAAACCATTGCAAAATGTGCCAAGTGTTAAAATATTGGGTTAGCCAAAAAGTTCATTTGGATTTTTCCTTAAGATGTTAAGGAAGAGCCCCAACGAACTTTTTGGCCAAACCATACATAAGCACAGGATACTTTGAGAGTGTATCTCAGGGAGACAAAATTAAGATTAAGTAGCTGGAGAAGAATTCCCTGAGGAACTATCGTTTAAAGTAAATATTTTAAAGTTTTCTGAATGTACTTCTTTTAAATGGCTTATAAATTAGAGTAAAAATATCTAGCAAGATGACAGGCTCTGAAAGCATACTGTTGCTTTTGTTATTAGCTGGTATATTTTTAAACAGATTAAAAATGTTCCCTAGACATCATTCTTAAAAAAAATGTAATTGCTTTGAGGTGTTTGGCTTCAGAATATTGATGGTAGTAGCAACTATTTCACTATTTTTTAAGGTTAAAGCTAAAACCCTATGAGAATGATCTACAGTTTAAGAGGAACAGTGAGACTCATAAGCTATTTAGTGGTTAGCTTTTTCTTCTTTTAAATCTACAAATTATCTGTGAAGTTTTGGGGAGGAGAAATTGAGTCATAAATGTGATGTGTGAATGAAGCAAGACACAAAAGAATGCATGTAAGTATGGTTCCCTTTACACTACCTGAACATAAGCTTAGATGATATAACTAGAAGTGCAAGGAAGTAGTGACCACAAAAGTTATATTGGGTTGGCCAAGAAGTTTGTTCGGGTTTTTCCGTAACAGGTTACTGGAAAAACCCGAATGAACTTTTAATAGTGGTCATCCCCAGCAGGTAACCATTGAAGGTAACCACTATGATTAGGAAAGGGTTACACTCATGGCTTCTGGGTGTCAGTAGTGTTTTGTTTCATGTCCTGCATGGTGGTTATATTGGTGTTTGCTTCATAATTATTAATTTAAGCTTAACATATTGCGTTTTTCTGTACGTAGGATGTATTTCTTTTTTTTTTTTTTTTTTTTTTGCGGTACGCGGGCCTCTCACTGCTGTGGCCTCTCCCGTTGCACCCGTTGCGGAGCGCAGGCTCAGCGGCCATGGCTCACGGGCCTAGCCACTCCCCGGCATGTGGGATCTTCCCAGACTGGGGCACGAACCCGTGTCCCCTGCATCGGCAGGCGGACTCTCAACCACTGTGCCACCAGGGAAGCCCGTATTTCTTTTTTTTTTTTT